TTTGCAAAAAGGCATACTGTGAACTCAGAAGACAGTTGTCAATCACTGGTTTGTATGCAACAGGGTTTATTTTACAATCTAAATTTAGAGAAGCACAAACTTAAAATGATTTTTTTTCCTCCCATCATTATATAATGCTCTGAGGAATATTTCTTTCCAATCTTGATGTCATTTAGGATATACTCAATAGCTTTCTAGGCAATTTCAGTTATTAAAAATACTAGTAATGTTCAGTTTAAAGCTTTGGTTTCATAAGCAGTGCATGCCTCAAATTCTCTTCTCTCCCCAGGCCCATGCTGATAGAAGCACTTACAAGGGGGAAGGCAGGGTTTTCCCGGCTCCCACTCCCCCAGTGTATGTCAAATAGGAGGGCTACAGAAATGTCAGGTTTCAGCTGATTTCATGTTTTATGATGGCTGCCTGTGATTGGCTCAGTTTGGTTCCACTTGCTACTAGTGGCCTCCATCCCTGAGTCTTCTATACACAGTTTAATTGTTTTCTCAAAAGTGTTCTCAGCTTCACCTTCTATTGCCTCTGTTATCCAAGGGCCTTTTGCAGAGGGTTTAAATCTTAGCCTCTCTCTCACCCTGTGTGGTCTCCAACTGCCTTTCTCAATGTTACGTCTCCTTGCTGATCTGCCATGTTGTTAGTCTCACAGCTCATTTTCCCTCTTCTCTATTCCATGATCTATAGAGTTTGGGAACCACTAAAGTCTTGTCCCGTTGTCTCCAAAGACTACTCCTTCCCAGGATTACTACATGACTGGACCTACCAATTCTGCTGCAACAAGCTGTCCAATACACCCTAGCCCACCTTCAGGATTCTCTAGGACAGAGTGTTTCCTATTTTACTAGGATCACGTTTTTCCTTACATTTGAGGCTTTCCCAGTCTCACTCACTACATTCTGCTGTGTTGTGATGGTAACACCAGGGTAGTCTGCTGATTTTACTGCTCTGCAAGTATCCAACAGGGAGGGAAATGCCAGTCTCTCCTTCACTCATGTAGTTCCCCTATATGAGTTGGGTGAAGGAAGAAAGAAGGTGTTCATTCATGCCTGATCCATCGAAGAGGAGGGGGAACTCTACCACTACTAACAGTGCACAATGAAAAGAATGTCTGAAATTCCCTCTCAAGGGAGACACATCATGTGCTATTTCTTCTGAATCTGGGGCACTTTGCTGAATGGCCTGGTACAAATACCTGAGTATTTACTAAATCGTGTTTTTAAGAGAGAGATAATGTGAATTTGACTAAATGGTTACTTTAGTAACATTAAAAATTAAGATTGTATCATTTAGCAACCTTGTTTGTCATAAGCCATCAACCATTTCGAATGTTTATCTCTTGTGCCATGACCTCCAAAGAACTTCCTCAGTTCCCAAAGTGTATGAAATAACAGTGGCATTTCATTTTACTAGACTTACTCTGTTTAGTCTGATACTAAAAATACTTCCTTCATAAATGCTGTTTAAAACCCCTTCAAAATATGTCTGCTTAAATCTCATCATTCTGCCAAGGATGCTTTTTTTCTTAATATTAATTTTGGTAGTTGATTTTGAGTTATTCTTTTTTCCATTCAACCAACATGCAGTGACATCTCCTGTGTAACAGGCACTGGGCTTGGCTGGGAGGACGGGGAGGTGGGGGTATGACCAGATAGCTCCACTGCCCCTTGGGGAAAAAAGTGCACAGCCAAACAAATGAATAAATTACAGATTAGTGATAAGCAAAGAGGGAAATAAACAGAGTGCTCGTGCAGAAAATAATTGGAGTGGGACACTTTAAATATGGAAATGAGGGAAGAGCTCTCTGATGCAGCGAAGTTTTGGCTGAGATGAGAAGGTTGGGAAAGAGGCAGTCAGATGCAGGGCAGACAGAATTGTATTCCAGGTATAGGGAAAGCACTTGTTGAGGCTTTGGTGTGTGAAAGAGTATGTGAGTTGTTATTCTAGGAAATGGCAGAGGGCCAATATCACCAGTGCTTTATTGACAAAGGGAGAGAATCATGTAGGGTCTGCGAGGCCCTGCTAAAGGTTTTTGTTTATATTCACAGTTCTGTAAGAAACCATGGAATTATTTGAACACAGAAGTAAAATAAAATGATTAAATTTTTTTAAAATACCACTGTGCTTTCTCAGTACCAAACAAATTATAGGAGAGCAACAGTGAGCTCAGCAAGACGGTGATTAGGACAAGGGTGGTGGTGGAGAGACAGAGGGAGATGGATATACGGAGAATTAATTTTATAGATAGAAAAGCCAGGATTTGTTAACAAATTGAATATAAGTGATGAAAAAAAAAAGTCAATAATGACTTCTAGGGTTTAGCAAGGGGGAGGGCTTCTGTTTTCTTTTTAATTTTTCTTTTTTTTCTTTTGTTTTTGGGTTTTTTGTTTTTGTTTTTTTGTTTTTTTTTAAATTGACCACCAGAGTTAGTGGTGGCACTGTTTATTCATGATTGAAAGGACTAAAAGAAAGTAAGACCTGGCTGACAGGGCCAGGATGAATCAACAGTTCCACTGCAGACATGTTTATTTAGGTGTATCTGAGACATGCAAGAGGAGAGACCCAGTAGATTTGGATACACAAGTATGGATCCCAGAGGAGAGGTCTGGGCTGAGATGTCACTGTTGAGGTTGTGAGTATTCAGATCACATGCAAAACAATAGGATGAATAAGACCACCTGGAGAATGAATGAAGGAAGGTAGAAAGGTAGAGGCTAACATTTAAATATAAATTTAGGGTGAAAAACATATAAACAGTGAAGTACTGGGAGGAAAAGCAAGACAATCCAAGAAAGGAGTCTACTAGATATTCATTAAGGGAAACATTTGTGTTTTTCACCATGGCAGTTTTGGGGAACTGTAAAAATAAAGAGCATTTCATTATGAGGAAGAGAAACAACATATGTCCTAAAAATTTTAGGTTAATTTACAGTGAGGGGAAACAGAGAAATGAGATACTTTGAACCAAGAGAATATTGAGCAGGGAAGAACTTTTTGTTGTGTTTGTAATCTTTTTACTTGTTTATCTATTTTATTTTTTCTAAAGATTTTATTTATTTATTTATTTGAGAGAGAGAGAGAATGAGAGATAGAGAGCACGAGAGGGAAGAGGGTCAGAGGGAGAAGCAGACTCCCCGCTGAGCAGGGAGCCCGATGTGGGACTCGATCCCAGGACTCCAGGATCATGACCTGAGCCGAAGGCAGTCGCTTAACCAACTGAGCCACCCAGGCGCCCATTTACTTGTTTATCTATTTGAAAAATCTATTTAAAAGATAGGAGATTTTAGGAGATGTTATGTGAAGGTAAAACATTATCTAGTAATGAGCAAAATTGTTAATGTTTCTGGAGAAAATCAAAGGAAGAACCAGACTAGTGAAGTTCTTAAGATCGACTTAGGCATATGGTATAGACTGACATACAAGTATTGATTTATCTTTGATAGGAGAAGGATCAGCTTCCTCCATTTTAATGGAATGGAAGAATGGAAGAATTGCATAATTCCAAGAAGGCTTATAGATTTAATGCGACAAAGATGAGAGAGTTACCAATCAATTAAATACTCTGATTATTTAAGAATGCTCTATCCTGTCTTTTGAGGGCGATAGTGAATTCCATTCCATTTTAGTGTTAGGTTGAAACTTCTTTACTGTTCGCATTATGCTGTTTAAACAATTAGAAATGAGAAAGAATAGGTAGATCGCACATGTAATGCACAAGCCAGTGTTGATGAATATACCTTGTTATTTAGCATCTTCCATTTTCTGATAAAAATGAATGTCTCTTACTGCTACCCAAGCCCAAGGACAACCCTCTTCTAAGATGAAAATTGCCTGAGGGGTCGACTGGAGAAAACTTTATCTTTCAAAATAAGCAACTCTCCTTAAAATAAGAACAAAAAAAGAACAATGTTAGTTACAGTATAAAACCCAATCCTTCCAATTACATAAAGCAATAACTGTGGCTCTTGTTTATTGGGATAAACAACCTGTAGCACATATTCAATGTGTTACATGTATGTAACAAACATATATATGTGTGTTATATGTGTGTATATCTAATGTGTTCGGGATACCGAATAACTAGCCTCAACTACACAGTAAATCCAGGACACCAAGAAGTATATGACATATGTTTTCTAAACTTTGTAGTTTTAAAGGAGAGATGGTGAAGTAAACAATTGCTTACAAGATGGTGTAATCAGTTCTTCGTGAAAGGATGTTTAAAGGAGCACCTGGGTGACTCGGTTGAGCACCAGACTCTTATTTCAGCTCAGGTCATGATGTTATGGGTCATTGGATCCAGCCCTGAGCTGGGCTCTGCACTTAGTGGGGAGTCTGCTTGAAGAATCTCTCCTTCTACCCCTGCCCCCACTCATGTGTGCTCTCTCTCTCTCTAATAAATAAATAAATCTTAAAAAAACCAGAAAGGATGTTTAAAGTACAAAAGTCACAAAATACTAAACCTCTGCACGTGTTGAGCAGATATAAAGGAGTCCTAGCACATTTTAATAAGAATGACATATCCAAAGGTGTAAGACACAGTGGATTTAGGAAAGCTGAGAATTAAAGGTCATTTAAAATTGCAGATGAATGGAGTATAATCGGTTTTTCTCCAAATCAAATTTAGTTATTTACCATGGCATCTAACATGTACAAATTCATTAATTCATAGCAGATTTTCGATACTAAATATCTATTAAATAGCAATTAGGCTAACTACTAGAAACTGAAAATTTGGTAGTCTGATAAAGGCACATGAAAAAATAAATGCATCTTACTTCCACAAATCCAGTGCTACAATATTTACATAGATAAAGCTGTTCTAAATTAGAGTCTTTTGCCAAACTGAGTAAACCTGGTCTAAATTTTGTGTCCATCCAATGTTTGTTTGAACCATATAAAATCTAAGTTTGGCCTTGGTTAGACTTGTCAGACAATAAATATTACTGCACTATTTACAATGGTTGTGATAGATCCATTGCTCCTTTTCCCAGATTTGGCAATGTGGAGGCTCTCTGGAGATTGTGACTTGCTCCCATGTTGGTCACGTTTTTCGGAAGGCAACTCCCTACACTTTTCCTGGTGGTACTGGTCATGTCATCAACAAGAACAACAGGAGACTGGCAGAAGTTTGGATGGATGAATTTAAAGATTTCTTCTATATCATATCCCCAGGTAAAGATGATTTCTTCCTCTGCAGGGGAAAATAAAATTTTAAACATGCTGCATATGTGTTTCATTATTGCTACTATTCTACTAGTTTAAATAAAATGTTGTTTATCACCATAATATTACAGAAAATCGTGTTTGAGAAAGTTGTACTATGAAGTCATTTTTCTTCTAAAGTGAGAAAGACTACACTTATCTCACATGCCTAAATACTCTCTTTCTCTTTGTTTCTTTCTTGGCACAAGAATTATGCTAGAAAAGTGGAGTAAGCAGTACACAGAGAGATCCAAATATAGTTAATATGTATTGGCTCAATTTAAGAAAAACAATATTTTTAAGGAGAAGTAGCCTAGATTTCCTTGTTTCACAAATAAACTGGCTGAGTTGGTAAGAAATTTTGCTAATGTTTAAAAAGAGATGTTTTCTACTGCCTAAATAATTTCCTGAAGATATAGGATGGTAAATTATGCAGATATTAAAATGTATATTTTTAAAGAATACTAAATGACATAGCAAATTACTCATTAATTGATATATGGAAAAGCATAATATAGGATAATAAAATATTACCCTACTTTAGTTACAGATAGTAGATATGGAAATAGAAGTAAATGTAGACTATCACTGGGTGGTGGGACTGTGAGTAATTTCATTATTTTCCTTTTTATACTTTTCTAAATTTTTAAAAAATAAAACATACTACTTATTTTTAAAAATTTATTTTAAAAGAATTTAAAAGGAAAATAAATTTTAATAAAGAATTTTAAAAATGTTTTAAAGAATTAAAAAAGAAAAAAATGTGTGAGAAATTCCATACCCGAGTGCTGTGATTATAAATGATCTCATTTTTATAATTTCCTAGAATTTTTCCAACATATTACTTATTAAAAAAAAAACCTCTGAGACATTACATTGTTTTTTAAGGAAATAAGATAAGACATTATGAGAAGCTACAAAGAGAAGACACAGGGGCCCTCAAGACCTCAAAGTTTACAATGGGAATTCAACTGTACTGATACAATAATTTTTAAAGTTCTATTTTGCTAATTTATGTTTAGGCCATGTGGTCATCAATGACATTATTATGTAACCTACCAGAAAAACAACAAAAATTCATGCTAACCTCCTCTTTTTCACATTAAAATCTATTACATGGTTTGGAAAAACCAGTTTGGGTTCCTTTTTTTTTT